CAACTCTTTTAAGTGTAACAAACCTTTGTTGCTATTATTTTATTATGGAAAAAAATCGTGAATTTACTTAGAAATATTTTTGGAACGAAGTTCCTTATGGCACGATGCGGTGGGTTACCCTAACCGGGAAAAAACGTCCGTAACGTAATTTCTCGCGGATCTTCTCAGTGGGTCGCGTTTCCGATCCAGTGGTAGATTAGGCGAAGCACTGCTCTTGCTAGGGCCAGTGTTAGCATCACTCCGGTTTGAGCTCCGTGAGCTCACCTACTAGTTATGGTTACGCTAAAATAGCCTCTCAAGGCTATCAGCTTAGGTAGAAAGAAAAAAGAGGACCGCTAAGCCTGTTATCCTATTAACGCACGAAAAAACATGCACGTTATTATTATTTTTTTGTTAATTTTAAATTCGTTCATAATTGTGTTCACGTCTCGGAACCAAGAAATAAACTTTATTATATCCTTCAACCAGAGCATGACTGCCAGAAAAAAAAACTAATTTGGATTTATATAAAACGCGAACATTATTAGATTCACACTCTTTGTTGAAGTATAATAATAATATAATCACAATATTCTTAATCTAATTTATTCATTATAAAAACGTTTAAAAAACCGCCTGCGAAAAATTCAAATTAGTTTGCGATAAATATCACCCGTACGTCGACATCGTACCTACATTTTCTCGATTACGCTATACATGTTTGCATGTCTGTCACTCATAATCTATATCTATATATTAATACGTGAAGCAAAAACTTTGTATCCCTTTTTACGAAAATTGCGCGGACGGAGAAGTATGAAATTTTCCACATTTATAGAGAATATAGAGCAGAAGTGCACAATGCTAATATTTTTTAAAAATAATGCATAAAATATACATTAAATCATTATAGAAAACATTACACACACTACATACCATGTATTTGACGCACACACGCATGCATACTATTTATTGTCAAACTTTTGTTCTTGACGTCTGTTGTCAAATTGAGATTAAATATTGTTTGTCTTTGTTAATATTTTTTATAGTGTAGTCTTGGCGAAATTTGTGATTATAAAAGTATAAAATACAATCATAATAGTGAACAAACTTACAATTCCAATTAATTATAGTCGAATTTCGACTACTGCGGGACCTCTAGTCTATACTAATATATAAATCTACAGCGGTTTTTACGGATGTTCCGTTATAACTACTGAACCATGCATCCGATTGACTTGAAACTTGGTATGCATGTAGAAATACATGTACTTAATGGATAGGCTAATATTTATATGAGTGTTGGACTCCCTACACCAGTTGCGGGGGCGTTAATTACGAGAATCTTTGTGGGGCTGAGAAGTAATAATGTTAATTTCAAATGCCCAGCGAAGCGGACGGGTAGAGCTAGTTATGATATAAAGAACGAACTATGCTTTAGTCGCAAAAGTTCTATGACCTTCTTATATCCACAAGTATCTGTCGATCTGGCCTAAAATATATGACGCCTATTGTCGTCTTACTGGTGCTATGTCTTGTGAGTCCGCACTGCCTATTTCTGCCGTGAAACAGTAATGCGTTTCGGTTTAAAGGGCGGGGCAGCCGTTGTAACTACACTGAGACCTTAGAACTCTTATCTCAAAGTGGGTAGTGGAATTTATGCTATAGATGTCTATGGGATCACTACTTAAGTAGTTTTGGTGAGCTGCGAGCTCGTTCACCTCTCTATGCAATAAATAAATAAAGTATACTAGTATCAAGCGATACGTCTGCCGGCGCCGGTGTTCTATTCCGTACGTAATGAAATAAGTACTTAACTCATATCTACGAATGTCTTGCACGATGAAGAAATAGCATCGTGTAATAAAAATGAAAATGGCAAAAGTTGTAAAATGCGCAATTAATAAACGATAGAGACATAGATTTATAAGTGTCGAAGAGAGTGGTGGAAACCTACGTAATAAATAAATAAAAAATATACCTACAAACACAGGCACGATCTGAACAAGATGTTTTCTTTGATGTGAAGATTAAAACAAACATAAGTATCTGAACAAATATTGTTTAGCAAAATAATGTGTATAGCTTTCTGTATACGATTCCTCTATTCAATGCCAATGTCGTTAGCTTCAGACCAAGTATTGTGGGAGTCAATATTTTTTGCTAACACATTTACGAATTTAAATTAACTCAAAACAGAATTATCTGTCGTCAGCATTTAATAGTGCTAACGTGTGTTGTGTGCACGCGTACACAGGCCGTTACCTATCTATCCTTGAGTCCGTGGTCTGCACCCAGCATCTGCAGACTGTCAAATCCCATATACCCCGCGTGCCCCCTAGGCGTGGACACCTCGTAGGAGGTTAGGCCTCCTGTCCGAAATGAAAAGGCCGTTAACCATCCCATCTTTTTTTTTAATGATTGAAGTTTTAGTGGTGGCACGGAGGCCTTTCCGGTTTCACTAGAACAGGTGAGTGAGCAAAGGCTCAGCCAGGAGTAGTGGGATTTGTTAACAACTGCCCGACGGCCTCCGAAGGAGACCTAACAACTCAAGAGCAGTTGCTTCTCCAATGAATCTACTGCCGGATCGGAATCGCGACCCGCTGGGAAGATCCGGCGAGAAACTAAGCGGGCTGATGCATGAGTTAGGTTTCACGTCGAACTCTTTGTCAAGCTCTACGAGTACGGCTACCGGGGTCCTTAAGCCTGCTCCTAGTGCTAGAGCTGAAGGCGTCATCCATCCCATCTATTTCTACCGTGAAGCACTCATACCGGTTCGAAGTGTGGGATAGCTGTTATACTATACAATTCAGATCACCTGCATGACACAAGGTTGGGGACGACGCAGATATTAAGATGTGACACCAAATGGAAAGTGAATTCAGTCACCCATGCAAGCCATACATAAATAACTGAGGAGCCTTGCGAGAATCTGTGCCGTGACAAAAAAGTCCTTAAAATAAACGAGTTAAAGTTTTTTTTTTTCGCATCGAATCTGAAAGTAGCTAGGGAAGGTTTTCGCCTTATTGACAAAGTTGGCACGCGAAGGACTTTAGTGATCGTCAAAATACATTCCATATCAATCATTAATAAAAAACCAACTGTACCTACGTAAGTTCCGTTATTACGAAGGTGAATATCATTGCGTAAATTAAGATCTCGGAGCTTTTGTACTTAGCTTCGGGAAAGTTCTAGAAATGTGCGTTCTTTAGTGGTAGGATAGTACTGGTAGATCACCGTCATCCTGTTTCTATCGCGATGCGGACATATGAGGTCCGGCGTAAGTTAAGGAAGTTTTATTGAATTTCGACTGAGACTAGCTCAATAAGAATTTGAATTTTATTTTATTTTATTATACTAATAATTTTCTGTAAGGAATATCAGTACGAAGACAGTAACAGCATAAAATAATAAATGTGAATTAAGCACGAGTTCATTGATTATTAATAGATTAATAATTTTCTGTTTCTTCAATTCTTTTTTTTTACCTTTCACCTTATCCCACTAGGTGGGGTCAGCATAGCTAATTTTTCTCTTCCATTCTCTTCTATCAGCCGTCATCTCAACACTCACTCCTCTCTCTCTTATATCGTCATTCACACACTCCATCCATGTCTTCTTCGGTGACCTCTTCCCCCTCTGACTTGCACTACCATTTCCATACAGTTCCATACATTCTTCAACGTTTTAACATAAAAATAAAATTGTTTTACATAAACACGTGCCTACAGTTGTATGCTTTATGGTTTTCCGAAGGTCAAACGATAGGTCAAGCGAGCTCTCGAATATGTATTATCAAGTTATTACCAGAGTCCAGATGCGACCTTGAGATAGAAGCTGAAGTTTCAATCCTAATCCTTGCGTCGATAATCCTGAATGCTGAGGGTCGGGGCTTCATGAGGTTTTCTTGGGAAAATAGACATGGTGGGGTCTTGCGTCCTTCCATGGAAATTGCAATAGTATTATATCTTTTTTTATGAATGGTGGATTACCAGAGGCCTTTCTAGTTTCACCAGGACAGATGGGCGAGCACAGGCTCAGTCAGGAGGGGTGGGATTTGCTAACAGCTGCCCGAACGCCTCCAAAGGAGACTTAACAATTCAAGAGCAACTGCTTCGCGAATGAATCTACTACTGGATCGGAATCGCGATCCGCTGAGAAGATTCGGCGAGAAACTCAGCGGGCTGATGCATGGCTTAGGTTGCACGTCGAACTCTTTGCCGAGTTCGCCGAGTAGGGTGAGTACTATATATCATGATACTGTCCTATCCCACAAACTGGAATACACGCTTGCCTCACGTTTGTGGCGCACAATTAAATACTACTGATACAACCAGTGAAGAGGTCAATCTAAGAGCTTGGTTAAGATTATTCAACAAACATAATTCTAAGTAAGGTCTCAGTATAGTTACAACGGCTGCCCCACCCTTCAAACGGAAACGCATCACTGCTTCACGGCAGAAACAGGCAGGGTGGTGGTACCTACCCGTGCGGACTCACAAGAGGTCCTACCAACACTAGTAGCAGTAGTAGTACCTAATAGTGTAACTATACTGAGACCTTAGAACTTATATCTCAATGTGGGAAGCGGCATTTACGTTATAGATGTCTATAGGCTCCGGTAACCACTTACAATCACTTACTCATCTACGCAATACAAAATAAAATAAATATTTATTTTATTATTCAATTTGCCATATGTATTATCTATGCGAAATGAACGCTTTTCCGTAGCACGAAATATTTAAAATTTAAAACGATACTTCTTAAAGCATTAGGCGCAGAGAATGAAATTAAACCTTACCGTCGTTCATAACAACAATCGTCACGGCTTATTACGGACGCGTCAACTCGATTCTTTTGCATATTGTAATGCTCCTGCAAGAAGTACGCATGTTTTTATAACGCGAAGATCGAATCGAATTATTCGATTTTGGAAATCGTAATTCGAAAATCGATATAATATTAAATACATTTTTTTTATTATTATTAATCTAAATGAAAATATTAAAGTACTCATTAATACTAATTTAAATTACGAGCAAACGTATTGTGCGTTTATTTTTTAAATACATAATAGAGTTGTGTATGTACCTGGTTTTTTTTTAAATATCCTTACAACACAGATCAGTGACTTCTTATAGTGTTAGACAGTGACTAATAGAAGAGAGATTCAAAATGAATGGTAAGTGAATGATTATTACATTTATTTTTGACACTTTTAAGGACATAAGTGTGGATGATAACAACCATATCCTTTGATACTGGTTTAGAATTTGATTCTTCTCCATCATATTATTTTCTTAATCCACTAAAACTTCTGCTGATCATTTTCTACCGGTTAAGTATTTTTTTACATGTAAATATGATTAAAGTAAATTTTTATTAAATTACGATTCTAAAGTGTGGCCCACCTAAACTATACGTCCACAGCGCTTTTTCAAAGTTTCCCTCTTAATTGTTTTTAAACTTGACACTGGCAATTATGGCATTGCAAGAAGCCGATTGCTATATTGAAGAGTAGGTAAATAAATATGGACAATTGGTTAAGACTCCGTTATTTAAAACCGGCAGTAGCGGTAGGCAGCGGCTTGGCTCTGTCTCTGGCTGCTGACGTCCATGAGAGACGGTAACCACTTACTATCAGGTGGGCCGTATGCTCGTCAGGCTGCGCGGGCAATAAAAAAAACCTAACAAGACACTTGACTGATTTGTCCATATTTTTTCTGAGTTAAACCTAAAATAGTGGATGTTAAAACATAATGATAAAATTGTTAAATAATTTTAGGACTTTTAAAATTATTTTAAAGCTTCGGACAGCTATTTATTTTTATGAATTAAAATAGAACTACATTTTTTTTATTTCTAAGATGAGTGATGAGAGATTCTAAGCCTCAATTTTGCTACTCTTCAAACTGAAACGCATTACCGCTTCACGGCAGAAATAGGCAAGGTGGTGGTACCAACCCGTATGAGCTCACAAAACTTCCTGCCACCAGTAATTACGCAAATTATATTTTTTGCCGGTTTGATTTTTATTACACGATGTTTTATTCCTCTGCCGCAGAAGTCACTCGTGAACATTTGTACTTGTATTGTACTTTCTTCGGTTTTGGCGGGTCGCGAATGTAAATAAAACATGTTTTTTTTGTATTAAAATAGAGGGAAATTGGCACAGCATTCAAATGGCGATAAATGAGTCGACTATTATCAAAGCCGGCAATGTGACTTTTGGACAATTATTGGTAAATCAGGAAAACGAATTATTGACTTTGTATTCCATTGGCAGTCACAAAACTCTCCTGAACGACACCTTAGATAAATAACAGGTTAAGTATTAACCTTTATTTAATGCAGGTTTTGAACCGTATTCTTTGAAGGAGACGATTATATTCAAATCAATCTGTATTGACATATCAATAACATTTTTTTGTCCAAATGCACAGATTGCCACCTTTGATAATAGACGACTCAAATAATACCTTAGTTTTCCGTGGTGACTACGAAAACTGTAAAGTATTTGAAACGCTGGAAATAATATAATGATAATAAGAAACGCGAACTTAAACTCTAAAAATAATGTATCTATATATTAATACGTGAAGGAAAAACTTTGTACTCCTTTTTTACGAAAATTGCGCGGACGAAGGAGTATGAAATTTCCCACGCTTATAGAGAATATAGAGGAGTGCACAATGTTACTATTTTTTTAAATTATGCCTAAAAAATACATTAAATCAATTAAAAAAACATTACACACACTACCATGTATTTGACGCACACACGCATGCGTACATTTATTTATTGTCAAACTTTTGTTCTTGACGTCTGTGGTCAAATTGAGAATAGATTAAATATTTTGTTTGTCTTTATTAATATTTTTCTATGGTGTAGTCTTGGCGAAATTTGTGAATATAGAATAGTCTTCGAAAATAGAATCATAATAGTGTATAAAATTTCAATCAATTATAGTCGAATTTCGACTATCGGGTGACCACTATTAATTATAAAACTATGACAGTTCCGTGGTACACAGCAAATTGGTTTTACCTCTACTACTGACAATGCTAATCCAAAATTCTTGGTTTTTGGTAAACACCAAAAATGTAAATTAAGAATTAACTATAAATATAAGATTTTCGATTTTTAATACTTTAAGGTTTGCGCATGATTTTAAAGAGACGGAAAAAGACTGTTTTATAAACTGATAGAATACATGTTTATAAACAGTTCAACAAAGTTAAAACCGCATTTTCTTAAAATTTTTAGTTAAGCTCCTTCAATAATCCTAAAGGTGCGATATAATATTTATTTATTTTTACTTGTGATAGGGCCTCTTGTGAGTCGGGGCGGGTAGGTACCAGCACCCTGCCTATTTCTGCCGTGAAGCAGTAATGCGTTTCGGTTTGAAGGGTAGGGCAGCCGTTGTAACTATAGAGATCTTAGAACTTATATCTCAAGGTGGGTGGCGCATTTACGTAGTAGATGTCCATGGGCCCCAGTAACCACTTAACACCAGGTGGGCTGTGAGCTCGTCCACCCAACAAAGCAATAAAAAAAATTAAAAAAATACGATGCTACTATAAAAAACAGGAGGGTAACAATTGCTGGTTAGCCTTGAAAATGCGAAAACATATCTTAAAAAATCAACTGTAAACCCCCAAATATGAAATATTTGTTGTTGACGTACCTACATACATATTGGAATCAATAAAAGTTGCGTCACAATCATTTATCTCCCAATAAACGAATGTCAAGACAATTAATTGCTCAGTCAAGCATAGACATCAGAACCATAAATGTTGAAATGTTCAATTTGAACTATTAAGATTTCTTCACTGCACATATGTGTGGATGACATCATGGTATACTTGATGCTATGTGGTTGTTGGAGCTCTTAGATGCTACATCGTGAAACCAACCAGCCCTATTAAACCATAAGATAGAGGCCTCAACTCTGCTGCGTTAAAATATCATAATTGTCAAATCAATATCTGTCATATACAAAAAGTGAAAAGATATTGAATCAAAATGTTGAATAGTAAATTATTCTTATTAATCAAAATTTAGAAATCTCCAAAAAGTATTTATAATAGATATTGATAAATAAAATTACATTTACACGACAACTTCAGTAAATGTTGCNCATAAGATAGAGGCCTCAACTCTGCTGCGTTAAAATATCATAATTGTCAAATCAATATCTGTCATATACAAAAAGTGAAAAGATATTGAATCAAAATGTTGAATAGTAAATTATTCTTATTAATCAAAATTTAGAAATCTCCAAAAAGTATTTATAATAGATATTGATAAATAAAATTACATTTACACGACAACTTCAGTAAATGTTGCAAATGTATTGGTAATGATGGCAATTTTATATAATTCGTCAAAAATTAATGTGATCATTTTGGGATTCCAAAAAAAGGCTAACAAATTAGGCAAATCTGCGCAATGTTGTTATTTCCACGTTTTTCTTCTGTAGATAGATGCCATTTCGGCATCGAGAATATAATTACTAGTATGTTATACACTATCTACTATAGTTTAGTTTAATGTTAGATAATTTGATGCGACAAATCCGTGATAGTTGTTAGAATTTGACAAAAACTTTGTGAGATCTATCATGTCTTTTGGTATGACTTGTTTTGTGAGATATTAATTTTATTATCAATATTACTTTGGATATGGTTCTATATGAATAATTTTACTACAGAATCCTGACATTCCTAGGTTTTGTTAGCTTTAAATAGATTAAATTGGTCTGGTGAAGGAAGTTGTCGAAAAATCCTCAAAAAAAAAGAGATATTTTATTAATAGATTAATTAAATTATATGACGAAGGTTAATTAATTACATTTACACATGTAAACAATTTAGATGGATTTATACTATTTATATTTCGAATATCATCTAAATTAATCAAGATATTTTTGCACTTTAAGTATTTTTGTTCTTCGCCTTTTAGTAATTAAATTTAATCTTCAGAATGAAATATTTTTTTCCTACGAATTTCAATTAAGAGGAACTAATTAAATGAATAACAGATTAAACAAATTTAAATTAATAACGTTAGGCCATGTAATAAAATTTTATTCAAATGCGACGGCAAAAATAGCAATTATTAGTGTAATCGTTTCTGCATTAGCGCTTAGTTTTCTTGCAATTTGTCATTGTCGATCTCAAGGTAAGCCTGGTTATACACGGCTACCGAAATCTATAGACAATACAACAAGGTGAATAGCATGAGGTTTATGTCTCAATTGTATTTATTGGCCGTCTCATATCGTGTGAGCTCAGAATAAATCAGCAAAACTGCCATCCAGAGACCATAATATATTGTAAAGGTATGATAATATAATATATATCATATATTATATCATTATATATATATTTATATTATAATATAAATATTCTTCTGTTCTCGCAAATCGTAGGTATATAATATAATAAAAAAATATTTTACGGCTTAATCTCGCTTTTTTTAGTCTTAAATATATTCTAATGGATATCTCCTAACCGGTCTTGGCACAACAGATACAGTCAGATAGTAATGGCCCGTGAGAGCTCAAGTCACCTTTTGTTTCATTACTTGCTATGGAAGATGTTCGCAATGTTGTTTGTTTAACGTGAAAATATCCAGAGGTTTTAGTTAAATAGGAATTACTTATAGGAATTACTCCACCATCGAAGTAGCTTACAAACAGGTGCTACTCGAATGGAAATTATTAGAAGGATTAGTCCTTGAATTGACGTAAACGTCTGAATACTTTACATAGGCGGCACTGAAAATTTCGGGAATTAACGAAGTGACACAACATTACTGTTTAAAAATGTATTTATTGCTTTTCGAAGTATTCACCGCGAAATTTGACACATTTTTCCATACGATGGAACCAATCATTGAAGCAACCATTCCATTCGGAAGTTGGGGTCTCCAAAATGGCCGTTTCGTAGGCGTCCACAGCTTCTTCAGGTGATGAAAATCTCTGTCCACGCAATTTATTCCTTATTTTAGGGAAAGTATAGAAATCATTAGGGCTTAGGTCGGGGCTGTACGGCGGATGGTCTAATAATTCTATGTTTTCTTGCTCTAAAAACTCTTTTGTTCTGTGCGCGGTGTGAGAACTCGCATTGTCGTGATGGAGGATGATGCGGCGGTTGCAGTTCTCTTTACGGAGTT